ACTTGGTGGCAACTGGTCAGTAGTATCAAGGGCAGGCTGCTGGCAATGTATGAGGGGCGTTGTTCTGCGAGGAAGCAGAGTGGCGGGGGTCCGACAGAGGTCGACGGTGCACCAAGCTCACAAACGTTGTTGCACGCTTATGGGACCTGGAAAAAACAAGGCGGAGCCTGCAACGCATCATCCAGGAGTTTTGCAAAGCACGATAAGGCGCAGCCTCAAGCGCAGGCGTCTGTTGTTTTTGATTTCGGGCAGGGTAACGTGAGCTGTTCGCTCTGGGTATGCATGCAATCCGGAGATATCTCACTGATAATCGTTTGAGCTTGGCAGGAGACTGCACAGCTATGACGGCCTTTCAGTTTCCTGTGCAGTTGCAAGGGGTCGCGTGGCCTCAGTGTGCGCTCATCCGTTGATTCCTGTTCGGCTTGAACATTTTGAAGTGTTGGTGTTCTGCGAAAAGGAAACGCTTGCGCATGGGCCCCCATGAAGCCGACGGTATCGTTTTGAAGTTGGCACTAAGGTAGTGTTTTGGTCGGTTGCCTTAGTTGAAATCAGATCCGTCTCTGTGACAGGGATGCCGGGACGCTGTGCATCTGCGAGCATGTTGGAGCTCCGCGGTTCGTGTGTGTGCGCGGCAGCGGGGTGGCGGAGCCTCCCTTGGGTTTGCGATACCGTCGGTGTTTTGCCCAGGAAGTATGCATTTGGACGCACGCTGATTAGCTGGGCGCGCATGGATTCGTTTATGTTTGAGGGGTTCCGATCGTATTCGCTGGCGTGCATTTGGGGGTGTGGGAATTCAAGAGCGGCGCGCACGCAGTCGCCTGCATTACTTTGTAGTGGCTGTTGCTTATGCTTGCTTTCTTGAGTCGCTTGCTTCTGCTGACGCCGACTGTGTCTGCAGTTGCGATAATACAAACAAACACATGCACGGTTTGTCGTTTAGCTCGAGGACCTGCATGCGCGAGCATTGCGTGGTTATGCAGGTTGTGTGTGCCTGTCTGCGACAGTGAAGCGGCGGACCTTTCTCTAGGCCTGCAATCTTCTCCCTTAACGCACAGCGAGTACGCTCCGGCATGCAGACGCAATTTGTCTGCGCGCTGGTGGATTGCTTTGCGTTTTAGGCTTTTTGATCCCGGGCACGGATATTTCTGTCCATCTGTGAAGGGGTTTAGAGTTGCTATGTCTGTAGAAATTGCAGTTCGCTTTGCTTTATACGTGCTCCCTTTGTTTATTTGCTGGGTCGCAGTTTTTTGGCAGGGCTTGCTGTGTTTCCACAACAGCATCTGAGATTGCAAACGCTTTCATGGAATTCGTCAGGTAGTATATGCGCAGCACAGTAAGCGGTAAGAGGCAGCAGCACCTACATGGCGATTTATGGCGAACATTTAGAATTGTCCATGGCAGACGTGGAATATGCGAGCCAGCCCAGTTGCATAAATGCTCATGGCATTGACGCGAAGCGAAACTATGCGGACAGTTTATCATTCATGTAACAGATAACCCAGGCGACAGTGGCACTTGTAGTGCAGGCGGTTGACTCCGGCTCTCGGCGAGACCACTTGAGCTGTTGTGCGCTTCACATAGGGGCAGGGCATGAGTAGGTCACTGATGTTTGCTCGCCGTTGCCACCGGACGGCAAATGTCTCACGGCGCTCCAATACAGTAGACAAAGATACACAGAGAGCAACCGAGAGTTCCACACGCCCCAGGTATTTCTTCTGTGTCTTGAAGAGTCTTGACTGCCACTGGTCTGTTGACGAGACGCAATCCGATAGGGAGCATCCATGCAGCCAGTTGCATCGTCCTGCAGTTGGTATTACGTTAGCCTGCACTTTAATCGCGTGCGCAGGTCGGAATCAGCCTAGCCCATCAGTAGGTTTGCATAGGCATTTTTTGTTGGCTGATTTGCGTGTCTGCGCATGGTGAGGCTATCCACTCCGTGTAAGGGGACCTACAGACGCGATATAGCCACCTCTTCTCTGACTTTGGTTTTTTGTCCCTCTTTGCGCAGCGTGTATGCACCCGTGGGGATGCATTGAATACCAGTTGGAGTAGCAGTTGCAGGGTGCTTTGCTTTATGCGTGCTCGTCTGTGCTATCTGCTTCGGTAGGGTGTTTTGGCGGCGCTCAATGCTTGTGCGAGACAAAGCCTACGTGGCAAACGTTCTCAGTTAATTTGTGAAGCAGTGTATGCACGGCGCATTACGTTGTATGTGGCAGCAGCAACTACGCGCTGGTTTTTCTCGAAGGCTTGTTATATGCGATCGGCGTTGTTTTGCAGAAGAGGGAAGTAGGGGAAGGCGGGCAGAAACGAACAACTAGGCCAGCTCGAATTGTATAAACGCGCATGGCGCTTGCACAAAACAAAATGCCCACAGCCAATTTTGGCAGGTAGTGGGCATGACAGAAAGAAACATAGCCTGTAATGCAGTTGCTGCTCCCTTTTCCCGAGACGCTTCTTGTGTTCAGTGTAGCTGCAACGCATAGATGTGTCGCGGGTTTTTTGCACAAGCTTAGCGACTCGCAGCAGCGTCTTCAGCACACTCCAGCACAGGAGGCACCGGCAAACGGGTAGCATCCCCTTGGTCTGCAGGCTCCGGATGCATACTGCACATCTTGAAGTTTTTCGGTTGTGCTTGGTCGTCCAATATGACACGATTCAAGAGGGACGCGCACGCAGCCGCCTGCATTGCTTTGTAGTGGACGTTGCTTATGCTTGCTTTCTTGAGTCGCTTGCTTCTGCTGACGCCGACTGTGTCTGCAGTTGCGATAATACAAACAAACACATGCACGGTTTGTCGTTTAGCTCGAGGACCTGCATGCGCGAGCATTGCGTGGTTATGCAGGTTGTGTGTGCCTGTCTGCGACAGTGAAGCGGCGGACCTTTCTCTAGGCCTGCAATCTTCTCCCTTAACGCACAGCGAGTACGCTCCGGCATGCAGACGCAATTTGTCTGCGCGCTGGTGGATTGCTTTGCGTTTTAGGCTTTTTGATCCCGGGCACGGATATTTCTGTCCATCTGTGAAGGGGTTTAGAGTTGCTATGCCTGTAGAAAGGGCAGCTCGCTTTGCTTTATGCGTGCTATTTTCGTTTACTTGCTGGGTCGCAGTGGTTCGGAAGATGTGAGCATTAAGCATTGCAATATGCGTCCAATAGTTGGCGATTAGCTAGCTGACCTGCATGAGTGAAGTGGTAAGGTCGTGCATTGTGTGTGGGCTGCGCCCACAGCAGGGATCCGGCGAAGCCTTACCTTGCTTTGCAGCCTCGTCCCTCTCCCGCCCAGGAAGTATGCACTTGGAGGCGTACCCACTTGTGCATCGCGGTTACAGGCCCTGTTACGTCTCAGGCTGAATGATGGGAGGCGTGGAAGCGGAGCTTTATGGCAGTCGAGCCGATATATGGACCAAAAAGTGTGAGAAGAGTGATACACGTTTTAGTCTTGAGGCGCGCTCTTACTTGATATTTGTTGGGCCGGGTATTTCGACGCAACTGCATGCCTGTGTGGGGCAGAGTCAGACATTTCTGGCGATCTTGTTGAATGGGCAAGGCAGTGCCCGTGCGCAGCAACAGGCGGACAGAGGCAGGGACCATTCTGCAGTGAGCAGGCACGATCGTTTATTATTGTTCACTTTAGCCTGGCTTTCTGTGCCTGTAGTTCCTTTGCGGAGAAGGAGAATATGGGAGAGCACGGGGCAGCGGATAGTGCAGCTGCGACGAAGCGCTTAAACACTCACTGCGCTTGCACAAAACAACCTGAACCCATAGCCCATAGGGTGGGGGGTGGGGAACGCAAACGGGCGTAGAGGCTGGAGTACAGGTGGTTGTGTGTGGCAGCATTCGGTAGGATGTTTTGTGTTCGGCGCAGGTTCGGTTAATGAATGCAGCGTTGGTTGTATCTGGAAAGGAGCGCTTGGCGATAAAGCGTTAAGAATGGAAGAGCACGGCCGGCAAAGCACACGGTGCGGTGGCCGCCGGTCTGGGGTCGCCAGATGGTTTCCGAACATTTGGCGCTTCGCTTGATGCGTGCTCTCCCTTGCGTTTGACCCAGTCGCGGTATTTCGGTTGCGCTTAATTCTTTTGTGGAACAGTAGGGAAGACTGCAAACAATTTCAGTGAATTTGTGAGGCGCTAGGCGTGTGTAACAGTACTTGGCCCGAGCCAACAGCAACTACTTGTGGATTTGCGTCGAACGTTAAGTAGTCTCGACACCAGCCTCATGCGATCGGATTTGTTTTACGAGAAGTGGGCGTACGAGACAGCGCGAGGCAACCACAAACACAGCAAACGCGAATTGTCTGGATGCTCATGGCGCATGCGCACCCTAAAAACTAAGTACATAACTTATTATTATTATTTGTGCCGGTTAATACGCGAAAAATAGAGCTTGTAGCCCAGGCTGCGCCACCCATTTTCAGCGAGACCAGTTGAGCGGTTTCATTCTCAAAATGCGTGCAGCGGATGTTTGTCTCGTTGATGTTTGCTCGACGCACTTGGCAGCAAAGTCTTCAAGACACTCGAATAGATTAGGCACAGGCAAAAGGGTAGCTTCCCGTCGGTCTACAGTCTCTTGATATCTAATGCCCGTCTTGAGAATTTTCTTCATTTGTTGGTGTTCCAGCGGAAACCGAATAGAAAGGGCCGCCTTTGCAGTGGGACTTAGCGTTTTGCAGTTTGCATTACTTGAGTTTGCTTGCTTGGTTTGCTCGCCGTGGTTGAAGCCAGCTCCCCCTGCTAATGAGTATATATATATATATATAT